TTTTTTTTACACAAATCTAATTTTCGTTACGTAATTTCGTTGCAGATCATGAAGAAGAAAAACTTAATGACCTTGACAGTTGATGGTAAGAGCAATCTCAACATCATGAAAAAGAGTAAGAAACCAGAAACCATGACCAAGGATCCGATCTACCTTGGAGGAGTGCCTGAATCTGTCACGAACAAAGGCTTGGAGACAAAAGGTGAGGGATTCTTGTTCCTCTTTTTTACGGATTAAATACATTCGCTGAAACGCTGCATTTTCTTGCAGAGCCATTTGTTGGTTGCGTCCGCATAATGAACCTTGGTGGAGGGAAGAGAGATAAGAACCGAATGAAGAAGCAACTTGATGTTTCTAAGTTGGATGTTTTCGGGGATGTCAACAAGCAGGAATGCCCTCTCGATTAAGATTTTACTACTGTTTCCTGCTTTGTGTTTATTCTTGTTTATCCTCTTTTGCCTACCTTGCCTATTGTAGTTCTCATTTGGTGTTATGGAATAAATAACGTAGTCAAGGTTTTTGCTATAGACTCAAAACTCAATGAAACTGAAGCGAAATTTGGCAAGCAAAGGGAGCTCGTTGCGGATTGACATAATGTTTACGGACATCCAAAACCAGAAAGAGAATAACTTTATGAAGAAAAACTGCAAATGAATGAATAGGCAAGCAGTAATTCAACTTATATTTGCTATACTGTTTGTGCACTACCTTTGCTTGGCATCCATTGCTCTGCAGAAATCGGTTTATCAATACCTACTTCCATTTTTCACATATGCTTGAGTAGAAGAATGTAAATAATGTTTTTAAGAGAGAAATCATTTTCAGATCAGAAAGGAAGTAGCACAAAAATTTTCAAATTGTAGAGAAAAAACCAACCTTTCAGGCTCTTTATTTTTCACGCTCCATCTTTTAACGAAATTTAACAGGGAATTTCTTCTTTTGAGCGTTTTTTCATCGTGGCTTGTTATTTTTTCAAACAACGTGAGTGGCTACTACTGTTGTTCCTACATTTTTTAAAATCATCAGTCTTCTGCTTCTCCCTGCTTATCCCCATCATCTACTCCTTAAACGCATTTATCCTCCATAATCGAACTTATCTCGATAGTCACATAAATTGTCCATGTTCACTGTTTACATTCAGTCAATATCCTCTTTACACTCAAGTCGAGGTCTTAGCAGATCGCGCAAGTATGTGACTTGCGTCCTCTTGTCGCCTTCGTTACTAGAGAGTATTAGCGAAACACGAAACAACAAAATTTCTGTACAAAGTCGTGATAGGAAGCTCAGGGCGAGCTTTCTGGTGGAACGAGCATGTCGAGATCCAGCTGCGGTTTGAGTGGCGCTGATCAGTAGAAGAGCTTGGATTCAATACTGGGAGAGGTCTTGTTTGCCCCTGAGATAAACATACCCGAAGTATTTAAAACCTAAGATGAAAATCGTCATCAATGTGCGCGTTTCTATAAGTGATAAAGGAAGGAGAACTCGTAATTATCCGCAAGTATTAAACTGGGAAATATAAGGCATCTCGTCTGGATGAGTGGGGGAAGTTAGCTGGTCTCAGGAAGTTTCTCAGCAAAAGCTAGACACACCAGCTTGCCGATGTTCTACAGCCTGATAACAAGTTACAAGCTTGCACAACACATGGCATTCGTTCAACGATGGCTGTGTTTAAATTAAGCGAGCGGTAAGTTGTGTTGGAGGTCCAACCGATGAAACATCCTGTAAGCGTTTGGGTAAGATTGCGTAAGACTGTAAGTCATTTGCCGGCCAACGTACTGTCTCATTCAGCCAATGAAAACCATTTCTCGAGCGTTTGGGAAACACTAAATTTTAAATGGGGTAAGTGGTCGAATCACTCTTACTAATGTTCAAAAACAAAACCTTGCAAGCATTTGAAAGGTTAGATGGGTAAGGTAACGTTTTTTAGACTTTCGGGTTGAGCAAAAACCATATCATGATCCTTATCAGGAAAAGTCTGAATTGTAGCATGTTTATGTGGTCAGGTGATTATTTTGCTCAGCTCAAGGGCCTTGCCATAGGACAACATACTCCAGTTCTTGCGGTTTGTTCCATGAGTTGATTTGAAAAACCAGTGTTCGCATTTTCCCCTCATATACTGTAAATAGCCGACTGCCGTATCATAACATCCAATACAAAATCTGAAATGAATTGGTGCTTCCGATTGTTGAATCCACAGTCGCAGTAGATTGAAGTTTTACGCGAGAACAACAGACCGGTTGTCTTCCTCAACCCCCAGTTCAAACTGGCCGAGTGTCGTGCGACTGATCATCGTAAAGTAAGCTCGAAGAACATTCTATTAAATGCTCACATGTTCACTCGGCACACCCTTTGACCGTCATTCATTCTGTTGTTCGATATGTTAAGAACGGCAAGTGAAGAAGTGTGAATGGGGGACGATGAGCGGAAAGAGTCACGAAAAATAGCGCTGAGTATGGCTAAAAGCAATGCCATCTAATGCAACTTGCACAGTAGAATGCTTCCTTCGTGCGACATTGTGGAGCGCAACTCCATGATTCTACCCTTCCATTCTTCGCCTCTAATTGAGTAAGTATGGATATGGCGATATGGCCGAGCATTAAGCGAGCAGGTTTGGGCGGCTTCACTATAGTGAACCTCAAGCGATAATATCGAAGATTACTACTGTAGGCTGAACAAAAAATATTCTTTTCAACAGATGTGAAGTTTGTCCATATAGCAATGTTGGTAGTAGGGGTAGTTGATCAGGAAGTGTGCACAGCTTGTGGCGCCACTTTATTAGGGAGACGGAAAGAGCTCTTGGTGTGAAAATAAAGGATTTTTAGCTAATAAAAGATGGGGTGCTCTCACATTTTCTTCGAATGGCATAAACATGAAAAACCTAAGGATACGTGCGATAGGGCGAAAATTTTGCCCCCCCCCCCCCCTCCTTCCACCTTGGGAGAGGAAGCTGACTGACCCGCTTCACCAAGGTCAGATGAAAAGGTACTGATTTGTTTAAGAAGGTGAGAAAAACGATCTTGTATGCCTATTTGCAGGTTCTCTGCCGAATACAGAGAGAAGGTTGACATATTAAAGCTATTTGCAAACAATATAATTACGAAAATAAATTGTGCATAATTAAGCTGTTTCTACAGGAGGATTGTGCTAAAAGAATTATTTTACTTTTAAATCACTTTTCATGGGATTGAAGTCGTGCTATTGTAGCTGTCGTTAGTTGTAAATCTAGAAGGAAGAGAATCTCCTCTCTAAGTGTAAGCTAGCACTCGGCACTTAGTTGCGTTGCCATCAAAAATTCTATAAGCAGCCATTACGAAGATAGATTGATTTGCGAGGGTATTAGCAATATTAAAGCAACCCTCAATAACGTGGCATAAATCCAGGTAATTTGATTTGATTTGGAAGAGATTTAGAAGCTATCTAAGAAGAGAGAATATATAACTTGTTAGGGGAACATTTTATTCAACTTTACGGGGGTGGGTGAATATTTTTGTGCCGCGATATTCAGGTACCGTAAGAACATCAAAGGATGCCGACAGGGGACCTGAATATCGCAGTACAAATCTATTCACCCACTCTCGCAAAGTTAAATAGAATATTTCTCATAACAAGTTATATATTTTCTGAAAGCGGACGATATGAGGATACTGTTGCACCCCTGATGTTAAGATTCGTTTCCAAAGAAAGAAGTTACTAGTCTTTCATCCAGGAGACGTGGACCAGTTGAAAGCCTGGATCTCTTCCAAATCAAATCGAATTACTCTGGAGTTATGCCATGTTATTGAGGGAGGTTGCCTTAATATTGCTAATATTCTCGCAAATCAATCTATCTTCGCAATGGCTGCGTATAGAATTTCTGATGAGCAACGCAACTAATTGGCGAGTGCTAGCTTACACAATTCTAGATATTTTTTGATTGGAGTGAGGTACTATATATCATATATCATTCCAAAGAGGAGATTCTCCTCCTTCTAGTTTTACAGCTAACGACAGCTACAATAGCACGATTCCAATCCAAGAAAAATGAGCTAAGAGTCAGAATCATTCTTTTAACACAATTCTCCTGTAGAAACAGTTTAATTATGCACGACTTATTTCCATAATTATTTTGTTATAATGCAAATAATATTTGATGTGTATATTTATCCTCATTATTCGCAATCTTCTGTCCCTGTATTCGGCAAAGGACGTGCAAATAGACATACCGTCTGCTCCCAGGGATAGAGCGGGCGGGGCATTACGACCAACGTCGCGGCGCAGTCGATCATGAATGGGACATCCATAATCAAACGGTATCCACACACTAAGGAAGCCAATCATTGATGTCCCATTCACAACCGGCCGCGCCGCGTCAGTGGTCGTAATGCCCCGCCCGCTCTATCCCTAGGAGCCGACGATAGATCATTTTTGAAATCTTTTCTAACTCTTATCTCTTAATAGATTAATTTAACAAACATTGCATAGCAACTTTAATGGTATAAGGAAATTGCCTCTCTTTCCCCTTCTGATAAACGAACCCGTTCACCTGGAGAGGTAAAAGTTTGTTATGATCTCCTTCACCCAGAAGAGCCGGTGTTTACCTTATCGCACGTACGAGATTAAGTGCGCAGGTTTGAGTGCTCGAGAGAACAAAACATGTACGCAAAAAAATTTTTGAAGCGATTCATATAAAAAACACCGATGAACTACAGGCATGAGTGCTCATGGAACTGAATTTTGCAAGCTGATTACTACCGCTCATTTGATTACATGTAGATTAACTCACTGAAAAGACTGACAAGAAAGCGGAAAAGAGTAAAGAGAAAGAATGTAAAAATAAAAGAAACAAGGGTCTACTAACCTAAAATATGGACAAGCTGCAACTGATACCACCTATGCGCAGCTCCATTAGAATTCCCTGGTCCGAAGGCTTCCAGAACGACGTCACACAGCTCTCAAAAAACCGTGTTTCGAGTGATCAAAAACCAATAATTTACCTTTGCAAGCTTGTGAGATTATGAAAGAATTCTCCTAATAAGCAATCGATTGCAAAGCGATGAACTATCCAGTCATGTTCCGGTGAGCGAGCACTTCGACGTGGAAAGAATCCGATCAGCACATGCTCATACGGCATAAGAAACAACTATATGCTTATGCAAAGGAGAGAAGTGGAGAGCGAATTAAATTGTGATACGATTCTAAGAGTAAGTGTTTAGTTTCATATACAAACGCAATCCCACACGACGAGTAGGTAAAAAAAGACAGTGAAGCGAGCAACAGCCCGATCCTCAGAATCTAAGTAAAATGCTATTCCCTCATAGTGACCAGTTCACAATTATGAACTTTACTCAGCACACCAATTAATATGAGAGTATAAAATGAGGATGTAGAGCAAAAGAAAATCAAGGAGGGACGGGCACACCAAATGATT